TAAATAAAATTCTTACTAAAACTTATTTTGAATTACATGTTCAAATATTAATTTTTTATATAAAATTATTCATCATATATTTATTATTTCGCATCAATTCTTGATCTATTTATGTATCTATAGAGATAAATAATGATCAACGTAATTAAATAGTTAAATCAAAATGCTGATATTTAACAGTTTACCAGGAAGAAAATGATGATAATAATTATAAAAGTGGCGCAACATATACTGCAATAATATTGCGAATTTAATAATTTAAAAATTTAATTTTCAAATTTGTAAACAATTGCCTATTTTACAGACAGATTTGCAGCTTTTAGCGTGTTTGCTGCATTTATTAATTTTAATTTATATCTTAATTGTATCATTAGAGGGTGATTGACTATCTAGTTTTAGTTTTGTTTCTATGATATCCATTAAATTTCCAATTGTTTGACCTGTGTAAACAGTAGCACTTCTCATAATACAAACATTAATTTATCACTTTGAATAACATTTAACTGCATTTTCTTATTATCTGCAAACCATGAAATTTACATACATTGAACAATGCAATACATTATACAATTACAATACAATTGGACAAATCAAACGCAGTCTTAACCTCAGAATTAATAATCACCAATTGAATGAAAATTCTCTAATAATAACTTTAATAGTAAAAAACATATTATAACGCCGAACTTAAACTTTTAAACAACATAGTTTTGAAAATATCAGCACTGTTTCTCACACCTAAAAAGTAATTTTCAAAAGTCCTTTACATTCTTAAATTCAAAACACTTTATCCTGTAGAGACATTAGGTATTTTTGGAAGCAGGAAACTTGAAAAATTAGCAACGCCCTCGCCCGGAATCGAACCACGGACCTCAGGATTACGAGCCCAGCGAGCAGTATTTCAGAGGCAAGCTCTGAACACCACGAAAGCATACTAAGAAGGGGGATAAATACCTTATATACTCCCCCTTTTAAAGGGTGACTGGGTCCCGCCTAATCCTGGGTGCGGAGAATTATCATCCACCATCCTTTTAGTTCGAGCACCACTGTAGAGAGATTAGGATTCTTTGGATGCATGAAAGATGAAAATGAGCAACGCTTTGGCCGGGAATCGAACCACGGACCTCTGGAATATGCGCTCAGTGTGCAGACCACCACACCACGAAGGCACGCTAAGAAATACCTCATAATCCTTTTTAGATTAAATTCTGTTAACTGCGAATATCACAGTAAAGAACAAGACAACAATAGCATCTATTGCAACTTTTAAATTTATGAAAACAAAACTAAAAAGGATACTTCTAGCCAAAGTTAAAAACAGTAATTATTATCGAACTAATATCTGCAATATTAAGTCTATAGAAATTGATTTTAGCCAAAATAATGTTTTTCAAAGTACTAAAACCTAATTTTCTCACTTCCGAAAAAATCCTGTAAAATTCTAGGAAAACGACTTATCAAGACACTTAAAAGTTTTCTATCATTAAAAACATTAATGTTATCAATTTAAAATATAAACTACTCTCTTAAACTATTACCAACAACTTTTGCATCATTAATTTTTTTGCACCGAATTTTTTATCAAGTCAAAAGATCTTCCACAATGATAAAATCCTATTGTCTGTTTCAAATATCACTACTAGAATTTGTAGCTTCCAATATACTAAAAACTTAGGTTCCATGATTAAAAACCGTAACCAAATTTATGACAATAGTGCGTGACAGTATATTTTCTTCCTGTTAGACTGCTTTTGATTTCGTTATTTTATTTCTACATTTTAATAATTTAATTACCTTCGTAGCATTCTGCGTGACTTTAATAATTTATAATCTTAACTTTCAAATTTCTAAACTCTTGTTTACACAGCTATATAAATACAGATATAAATATATTAAATATATGCATTTAGATATGTATATATGTTACGGTGAAACACCGAAATCTGGAGAATGTCGACTTTCACCGGTGAATGTCAACATTCACCTAGTCGCTTGGTGTATGTCCGAAATATTTTCCAAATACTCTTATTTCTGATTTACACCGGTGAATGTCGACATTCACCATGTACTAATGGTGAATGTTGAACATATAAGAATATTATATTTCCTTCTCCGTAATTCATTCGCAAAAAAAATCTGATGTGTACACCACATGACTTCCTTGTATGGAATATTAAATTATACGCATTTCTTCCTGCATTTCATTTAAACTTATTAGATTGAATTAAACCTACTTCGCCGACAGCGCAAAAACCACAATAGAATAAATGCATTCTTTAAAATTCACTTTGTTTACCATAGCGACACTCTGGCGCTAGGTTTACTTAACAATATTATATTTCGTTCATATTATAACTCAAAATGCAGAAAAATTTATATCATTTAAAGAATTATCTAATCGTTGCCACATGTTATATTCAATTACTATAATAAAGTTAGAACTGTGTATAAAAGAAATTACGCAAACAAAACAAAAAACAAACAGTTCTTCACAGACGATTGAGTATTTCTCATTCAATTAATTCAGTTTTCACTTCGCGACAAGGCAAAAATACATAAAAACTCAAAATATCTGTATTAAAAATTACGAAGTAAATCTTAAACACTTATTTCCTCGAAAAAATTCCAGAAAGGATTAAGCATGATTTAATTCGCAATAATAAATGAAGGCGTTATTTTTGTGTTGCGAAGCTTAGTCTCTCTAGATTGGCAACAAATCTACAATTCTGCTGTTTCAAATGTAAACAAATATGTCCGCCATTTTATTTAAAACTTAACCGCACTTAAACAGCTTTTAAATTGTTGATAATTGTACAAATATTTTTCCAGAATTACGAAAGGCATAAAAACCTTAACCGGAAGATAAAAACAACATAATTCAATCATTTTTAAAGCAAAAATGTACAATTTACAAACACATAAGAGTAAAGAAACTGATATCACCGAGCCGGGTAACAGAGTGGATATATTTATAAATATATTTATATACGTTTGGCGCGGCCGATGGAAACCAAAATACGAGGTGCACATCTACATGTTATAGTAGTCTTATATACAAAATTTCAACGTTATGAGACTACTCGTTTTTGAGTTATGCGAGATACGTACGTACGTACATACGTTCGTACAGACGCCACGAAAAATTCTCTTCAGAATTAATTTTAAGCAGTTTTTTAGTTTTTTTTGGAGGAAAAGAGTCTTTTATTCTGTCCTTACGTACAGATATCTTGCAAAAACATCGTTAAATTGCATTCGAAAGCGGTCAAAGTGGATATTTTCGTTGAAATATACTGCCTGAAGCTTTTCGCGATTACAATACTTCCTTTTTTTGTTCGTACAAGGAAGTAAAAACGCACTTGAGACTCAGAATAAGAACTTAAGAATATATGAACTTAAAACACACACTACATTCAAAATGAGAAAGGAAAATAATAGAAGTTATAAACTTACCAAATTACGTGATTCAAATCTTATTTATTGCAACAACTTAAACTATTATGACACTTTGAATTGCACAAGAGGCCCTTGCTTTTACAACTGCATTTATTTGTGGAACACTTTCTTTTGGAATGGCAGCGTGTACATATACTCCTCTCTTTTCGACCTACACCAGAGCATATCTGTGATTGTCGACATACACCGGTGAGGATCCGAATGTACAAGAATGTAAAGAAATATTCGATCTTTCACCGACGTATTTGGTGAATGTTGACATTCTCCGGTGAAAGTCGACATTCTTCAATTTCGGTCTTTCGCGGTAACATATATATATAGAGAGAGAGAGAAAGAGTTACGTAGGTTTAAGTTTGGTTTACAGGAACAAACTGCAAGCATTTAATAAGAGTTTTTCGAACCCAGAATAAGTTGATAAGTCATTAAAGCTAATAATGTATTAAAGTTATTCTTTCATAATGATTACTGTATATATGTATGTATATCTTTCTCTTTTAAATTTCTGAATTCTTTTTTTAGGCTTAATGAATTATTACTTATAGTATACTTGTTCTAAACTTAACGCACACTTACTGATTGTTCTTGAAACTTCAGACAAATTAATTCTTTGCTGATTATTAAATTATGTGCCATAAACCAAATGTAAATTTGTATTAGGAGCAAGTGTTATTTCATGTACGTAAACTTAAGCAAACGTAGACTGCTTCAGATTACTTTCCTTAAGTTTATAGTAGATTTTAAAGCCGCTTAGTAATCTTTATAGTAATAAAATAATAAAACTGATTCATTGCAAGAAAATAATATAGGCTTTCCTGTTGTCCAAAGACATAAGGACTAGAGCACTGTTCAAAACTAAAAATCGACTACATGCTTACTTTTAAGGATATAAAACATGCCAAAGTAAGTAGAAAACGGTTCTAAATGAAAAGTTTCGAAATATGTAGTTGATATAATTCTGAAATAAGGAGAACTATAAGAGTAAGGTACCCTATACTAAGTAAAATATCATTCATCAGTATTTATAAATGAACTAATATGGAAGATACTTTTTTATTCATAGTTTTATGAAAGCAAAATTGTCCTTATCTTGTAAGGTGAAATGGAAGCAAAAAATAACGTACTAAATAAAAAGGGTGAAATAAGTTATTCTAATAATTGTCACTGAAGTTAAAATTATCACAGGTAATTTGATATTTAAAAACTGTAAGTCTTGTGACACAGCCAAATTTTGAAGTTGGTTGCTATTCTAATGCATAATTTTATCAAAAATATTTCCCTTGCATAACAGTACTTGTGATTACAGACAACAGCAAAGGAAATCTGTAACAAAAATTATATAAGTACACGTATAAGAAAGAATTCTAAGCCTTCAATAGGACAAATTGGAGATTAAATAAGTTTTTAAAAAAATAAATATAAAATATTCGGAAGAAAGTGTGCCACAGTAGCTTAAAGCAATTAGTAACTATTCATTTTAACTAGAGTAATTGTGAATGTTATTTGCTGCTTAGTTGTTGTTTTTAATATTTGCTTTTATCTATCTCTAGCGCTGATGGAAATTTTGAAGTAACTTTAGAAACAAAAGCCCAGCTCAATAACAGAGGAATGATCCAATGGAAACCTCCAGCCATATATAAGAGCTCATGCGAGATAGACGTCGAGTTTTTTCCTTTTGATGTACAGACATGCCTGATGAAGTTTGGATCTTGGACTTACGATGGATTCAAGGTCAAATATATAGTCTTATATTTAAATATTTCCATACATAACTAAAACAAAAGCTAAATGTGTCATTATTTTGAAATCAAGGAGTTAAACTTTGGAATACTTTGTGAATCGACTTTTAAGGTAATCTATGTGTAAATAAATGAGATAATTTACGAAATAGTTTGATTTTCATCATTCTGTAACTCTCCAAACAATTTGATCATAAACAGTTATCGCAATTAGCATTTCAGTAAATGTGATTCGTTCAGGTTCAATCAATGGATGAATAAATGCTATTTAAATATGCTTAATTATCTGTTTAGTTTCCAGTTCAGTAACTAGCATGCTGATCGGTAATATAATATATAATATAAAGTAATAATAATATAAAGTCCTGTAACTGATATTCTCAACTTTCCCAATATATATTTGCCCCGATTATAGCAATGTAGGATGACTCATTGAAACATAATATAGAGAGTGTTTATGAAGTCAAAATACCCTCCAAAAATCATATTTTTATATTCCTTCTTTTTCTACTTATATATGTTGCATTTCCATATGTTAAAAAGTAGTGTTTGCTTCACATCGAAGTATTTCCTGGTTGGTTGATTATTTGATCATAACAAACATTCCAGACCTATCTGCCTAAGCGGAAGGCTACCTTCGTCAAGGACTTCTAAGAGAAACTGGCTCATAGTCATGTTACAATTGGGAACAATCACGAAAACCCCAAGTTGCCAGTTAGCTGATTAACTGACTTGAATACGAATTATCAGATTTCAGCATATTATCCACTCGGCTGCTGGTGAGCCAGTGTTTTCGTCAGTCATTATTTATGTTATGATACTGCATGACGTACTATAAATATTATCCATGTTGTTGAATTCTAAGAAGTGTAACGTGGACCTTGTTGCAGGTTAATTTGACATTTTGAAACTTAGTTGAAGTGTATGTTGTAATTCTAATCTTGCTCTTGCTCTCAGTTTTTATTGTCAAGTGAATGTTCTAAGCCACCGGTTCTCAACCTTTTGACTGAAGCGTATCATCTAAACAAAAATTCAAAACCTTTAGTACCACCACTAAGAAAATACTACTACACCTCCACTCTTGAACAAAGCTCAGCTCGCATAAATTTACGAGTGTTAGAGAAAAAACTCAATCAGAATGTTGGGGGTTTAATTTTTGAATTTAATAGTTAAAAATGCTTTGCTTCTTTGTACACTTTCTATTTTTCTCTTGCGTACCACTATTGGTACGCGTACTACTGGTTGAGAACCCCTGTTCTAAGTTATTCTAAGCGTAAGCGATTATGCAAATAATTAATTAAATTTCTCGTGTCTTGACTTTATGAATGCCGTAGAGAGGACTTAAAGCATTCAGCCATTTGCCATGTTACTCTTCACTGCTTAGAAATTAGTTCAATATTTTCAGCTATGTAATTGATTACTTTAGAACATGAATACAGATTATTTTCAATCTTAATTATTGTTTATTTTTAAAATTATTATATATTTTGAAGAACTTGGATTTGAGCTTCCATCTGGGATATTTTAAAATTTTCATAAAATCATGTTTAGAATAACGATTAGGTTGATCACTGAGTCGAATTAGAAGGCATTTTACATAAGCTTCCTTTTATGCTGTAATTTGTTTTATTTAAAAAGCATATTTAGAATCATATAAGAAAATAGATTTAAACTTCTGCATTTACAAAGTATACTTCTTACATTTAAAAATTTCTATATTTATTTTTGTTTATTACTTCTACATTATTTTTATGTTTTATTGCATCTTCGATACATTTATTTTATTAAGCACATGCATGTTCATCGTCGCCTGAAGAAACACTGTCATTATTGAAATACTTAATGAACATTACTACTTCCTATTTTATTATTTATCTGTTATTTGTTATAAATATTGTTTCTCCTACCTTTCGTAATAAAGCAGCCTCATAAATAAAGCTAAGGTTTCTATGTTCTAAAATGCTGTTAATTAGGTCTGAGTAAACAAGGAGACCAATTTTAAAGTTGGAAAACTATTCAGCTTTCATAAAAATGTTGTGTTATTATTAAAACAATTATTTTTAAGTTAAACCAAAAACAATTATCTTTTTTCCTGTTTAAAAAAGTTGCGGACATTCACAAAACACGTTTGAGATTAAATTTACATGATGGTCATAAAAAACATTTTCGATATAGGAACCTCAAGCGCCCTATCCGCTCGACCAATCGAAATGAAATTTCAGATGTTGTTATTTGAAGGCATGCGTTTGAGATTGTGATAATTTAAAACAATAGAGTTCTTACGGTAATGGTCACAGTGAAAACATTTCAAAATTTTCGAATGGCAATTCATTTCTGCACGTTTCCTGCGCAAATTGATCAGCGCGCTGAAAAACCATAAATTGGGTTGAAATGATATACCTTTGGCGAAAATTACCGGAATAAAAATATATGATTTCGGAGTAAATATTTAGCACTTTTTGTGCTGAAATACACATGACAAATACATTAAACACATCTTTTTGCAATACAGTTAAAAAAACGACTGAAAACTTTAATTGATATATAGAAAAAAATGAAAGTAGTTAACATATTTCTACTTTAAAACAGAAACCATAATAGTTGTCTGATGACTGCTTCAGACACAACAAAGAATTAAAGGCACTTTTTGAAAAATTTAAAGCTTTTTTGTAACTTAAATTTTATCCTGTTTCGTAATGTGAATGTCTGTCGTGATAGATTCTGTACATTAACTATTACGAAGTTTAACTATTACAGGATGGCGCGTGTTGTATGTGCCAGGTGTAGTTGGCAAGCCTGCCAGAATTCACGTGTGTATGCATACATATCTACATCCGTTGAGACCTTGGAGACATGCAATAAGTAAACCACAGAACTTGGGTAGTACCGTTAGATACGGAGTGCGTGTATCTTACATGATCCCTATTCAGACCAACACTCCTCCACAACCATAACGGTCCTTTTCCATGATGGAATCGGGTCCTAGGTTCTTCCCATATCAATAATCCCCAAGAATCAGATTGTAGACTGAATATGGACTCATTCATGAAGGGAACATTAGCCCTTTGAAGCTGTGTTCAATTTTGGTGTTTTATGCACAATTGTAAACCCTCTCTTTTGTGGAAAGGAGTGAGTGGGACGCAAATAGCGGTTTTCTGGCATACAGTCCAGTCTATTGGAGCCTTCTGGCCAGTCTGCCTTTAAACTGATGTTCTTGTGGCAGTAGACGTCTTCTGGCGCCCGGCTGAAAGTACCAAATAACGGTCGTCATTGGGGCTCTCAGGCGACCTTGTCCTGGTCATTTGGACACTGACCCGTTGATTTTAAAATTTAATGCTTCTACACATTAGAGATGACACTTGGTGTTACCTCCAGTTCTCTTGCAACCTGAGCTTGGGATTGCCCTGCCTGTAGCCTACCCAAGATTCCACAGCTAGTACCTTTGTCTAAGCGATCATTTCACTTAAAAATAGCAAAAAAAAAAAAAAAAAAAAACCAGCAATATTATTTAAGACAGATAACAAAAAATCACTACTGTATTCCAGAGTGGAATGAGCTGAGCAGCTGAACGCGAACTTTAATACCTCCTGGCTGGCGTAGCGACGGCCACAGGAACGCGTAAACTCATCTCAGTGACACCAGCACCACAGTGATATTATATGGCAAACAACTGTCGCGGTTTTGTCTGGTGTTTTACGAGGAATGTGGGAAAATATTTTCCATCTCTTAATTTTGTCCATCAGTATATATAAATATTCCATATATTTCGAGAAGTTTATAATTACTTTTCCCATCGATATTTTAATGCACATTATTATAAACAGCTTATAACTTTCAATAAAATCTTCGCAAGTGATATGAAATTTTACAACTAATTTATCGAACTTTCTGTATACCTGTTTGTATTTTAACCCTCCGGCAGTTGTAAGATTGAGCAATTGTTCCTTCCCAAATACGCTCGATATCTGTCAGTTGTGAATTTGTAATGCGAGCTGTGTTCGTTTGCGCTCACTGCAGTGCGTAACTAGAATGCGAGCTGAGCTCGATGATAACAATCAAAAGTTTAAAAAATAGCTAATTGTATCAAAGTTCTGAACATAAATTGAAGGAAATCGATTATAATTCTTTTTGGCAGAAGCAGTTTAAAACTAATTGCCATAACATTTGAACAAATTCTTGTAATTTAGGTTAAAATAATTGTTTATTTGCACTTAGGCAGCTGAAGAGGTTGGTTCCACGAAACTCATCCTACAAAAATTTACAAACATTATGCTTATTCTTGTTGTTTAACTTCTCCAGTAAACTCTTGTGAATTTAACCAAAATTTTATTAAATTTATTTACTTTTGATTAAAATATCCTCTTTTAATTCTTTTGAAGCTTTAAGTTTTTTTTCCAAAACAAAGACTGCAAATATAATCCTTCTATAATTTTATGTCTATAATGATCCAAACATTTGCAACTGTGAAATTTCTTTTTCTATCATATTTTGTTTGTGCTTGCAAGAACACTGAAGCCTAGTAAAAACAGCTAATAAGAGTAGTATAAAAACATATATGGTATAGTATATGTTTTTTTATAGTATGCAACGTTTTCGTATGAAATAAACTTTCAGACTCAATATTTTGCAGAGAATTTTCTGAAGGTAATCAGTTGAAATATATAGATTTGATTTCCAGTTTCCTTCATGTGCTGTACATTTTAAAGCTGATCATATTTAATTTCATAATAGCTTTTCTACAAACGTAGGATTCGTATAAAAATTATTAGATAGTTTTAAGAGCAAATTTTTGTAACTAATCATAAAAAAGTTTAACAAAGTGAAATTCCTATGGTCTTTGACTCACAAATTAACATTATATTTGCAACAAATTTAAGGAAGCTTGTTATTAACTGAGTCGTTCATTATTTCTAATTTTGCTTTGTAAAATATTTTCGATGCACTCAGTGTAATTAATGACAGGTGTAGAATCTTATTATGTACGATTCAGCT